GACATCACACATACTAACCATACACAATATAGACATCACACATAGTAGCCACACACACACACTAACCACACAGCACACACATCACACACGCTAACCACACAACACACACATCATATATACTAACCACATGACACACATAATACCAACCACACACAACACATATACTAACCATGCATAAATACGTCACACATACTAACCACACATAACACATGTCATACACACTAACCACACAGAACACCCACACTAACCACACACAGAACACACATACCAGATACATTACATGCACTAAACACACACACACACAACATAGACATCACACATACTAACCATACACAATATAGACATCACACATAGTAGCCACACACACACACACTAACCACACAGCACACACATCACACACACTAACCACACAACACACACATCATATATACTAACCACATGACACACATAATACCAACCACACACAACACATATACTAACTATGCATAACATATGTCACACATACTAACCATACATAACACATGTCATACACACTAACCACACAGAACGCCCATACTAACCACACATATCTATCACACATGCTAACCACACACATAACATATCCATCACACATACTAACCACACACACCACACACCCCAACCACACATATACAACACACACACAGACACAGATACCACTTATCACATCACACGTACCTCACACATACCTCACGCATACAGCATGTACACCCACACACCACATACACCAAACACCCTAACACAGCAATCACATACATGTACAAAGCACAAAAACACACATACACACAACTCATCACACCACACACCAAACACACACACCACGCACATACAGAATACACACCCACACACATCTACACACACACCCATCATACATACATGGCACACAGACACCTCTTATCACACCATACACACCACACATCAAACACACATATACCACACACAGCATACACACCACACATACACACATTTACACCACTTACCACACCACACGGAGTCCTGGGATGGCACTGGGGGTTATTGCGTGGAACTGCAAGTTCAGTTTGAATCACAAGGTCAGCAGTTCAAACCCACCAGTCACTCCTTGGAAACCCTATACAGAGTCGCTATGAGTTGGAACCAACTCAACAGCACTTAACAACAACAACAAATTACACCACATACACCACAAACATATAACACATACACCACACATACCACACAGACCTATACACACTACACATACCACACAATCTATACACACTACACATTTCACACATGATCATATATACACATATACAGCATACATACATACCACTTACCACAACATACATATCACACAAACACACATACAGAAACCACACATCACACACAACTAAACATGCACACCACACACCAGACACACACAGCATACACATGCCACATACACCACACATACATGTGTATAAATGCCACATCATACATACCATACACAAAATACACACACATCGTACATACCACACACCACACTCACAGCACACATGCCACACAGCAAAGGCAGGGGGACAGTCCTCTGCCCTACAGCTGGGGGGGCCTGGAGGAGAAGTTAAGCCCTTGACTCTACATCCAACCAGAACCATAGAGTCAGAGTAGAATTGCTCCGAAGGTTGGCAACGGCCGGCTTTCCGGAAGTGCTCCTTTTCTTGCCAGGCACCTCAGCTACCAGCCGAGTACATGCACTGTTTGTACCACCCAGGGGCCTTGCCTCTGCATGGGGGCACAGGAATGAAGGTGTGGAGGCCCCAGGCGGGGTCAGGCATGCGGGGGTGGGGGGCCCTCCTCATCCACTGCTGGCACCACACATGGCCTGCCCAGGTCTCAACCTTCCCCCAAAGCACAGGCAATGGCCCTTGGTGCCCAGAGCTGGCCCACCGCCTCCAGCCCCAGGGTCCCACCTGATATGCAGACGAAAAGACGATGGACAAGGTCGTGGCTGCTGTGGAAACGGGACCGGATTTTTTCTCTCGTGGCCACAGGGGCAGCGTGGGAGGCGATGGGGGAGACCTCAGGCCTGGCCTTGTCTGAGGAGCAGGAGGCTGCGGTGGAGTCACTGCCGAGAGAAGGACAAGTGTGGTGTGGGGACCCAGAGCAGCCTAGTGGTGTGGGGACCCAGAGCAGCCTAGTGAACCCTGCTGAGACACCTCAGAGGAACCTGGCCTGGGTACCTCAGCCCAAATGCCACACAGAACTCCATGTGCTCAGTCCCTGGGTACTGAGGTACCCATACCCAACTTTCTTATACGTTAACTGGATCCACAATCTTCACTCATGGAGGCAGCAGTCGAGAAATCAAATGACAGATTGCACTGGGCAAATCTGCTATAAAAGACCGCTTTAAAGTGTCAAAGAGTAAAGATATCACTTTGAGGACTAAGGTACACCTAACCCAAACCATGGTATTTTCAACTGCTTCATAGGCGTGTGGAAGCTGGACTAAAGAATTGATCCGTTTGAATTCTGGTGTTGAAGAAGAATACTGAATATACCATGGACTGCCGAAGAACCAAGAAATCAGCCGTGGAAGAAGTACAGCCAGAATACTCTTAGAAGTAGGGATGGCAAAACGCTACCTCATACTTCGGACATGTTATGAAGAGAGACCAGTCGCTAGAGAAAGACATCATGCTTAGTAAAGCAGAGGGTGAGCAAAAAAACCCGAAAGACCCTCAACGAGATGGACGGACACAGTGGTTGCAACGATGGGCTCAAACAGGACAAGGGTGAAGATGAAGTAGGACCAGGAAGAGTTGCGTTTTGTGGTGCGTTGTAGGATACCCACGAGTTGGAACAGACTAAATGGCAGTTAACAATAACCACAAGGTAAGTTCACTTAAGACTTTATCCATGAGATATCTACCTCATCCCCATCACAATGACAGGGATGGAAAACATGGAGACTACTAGGCTGTTGGTGAGGTGCTGGAGAAACAGGAACCTTCGTCCATTGCTGGTGGGTGTGTAAAATGGTGCAGTCTCTGTGGAAGACAGTTTGGTAACACCTCAAGACAGTGAACTGGAGCTATCTACCATATGATCCCTCAAACCCAAACCTAGCTAATACCCAGACATGAAGGCTAGAATGCAAACAGAAATCTGTACATCAGTGTTCACTGCAGCACTTTATACAACAGCCACAAGGTGGAAACAACCCAACTGTTCATCACCCAATAAATGGACAAACAAAAGATGGTCCAACTGTTATTGTTGTTCAGCGCCTGAGTCGGTTCCGACTCATAGAGACCCTGTATAGGGTTTCCAAAGAGTTTGAACTGTTGAGTTTGAACTGCTGACCTTGTTGTTCAAACCAATCTTGTGGTCCTGTGCTTTAACCCACAGTGCCACACCCAGACTCCTATTCAGCCTTAGAGAGAACCGATGTCCTGCTGCACGTCACAACATAGATGACCCTTGAAAATGTCATGCGGAGTGAAATTAGTCAATCCCCAAAGGATGAGTATTATCCCACTGATACAAACTCATCAAACTTACAGGTACCAAGATGGTCACCAGGGGTGGGAGGCAGGAAGGAAAGGGGGAGTTGGTAATCAGGGGGCATGGAATTTATGTTCGTGGTAGGGAAATCATTTGGAAAAGGAAAACAGTACAGTAGCACAACATGAAGAATGTAATCAGTCACCAAAGTGGACATGTAAAAACTGTTGAGTTGGCAATTGTCTGTTGTGTATATTTCGACACGCACATGTTCTCCATGTAATAGATGCATTCCACTTGGGAAGTCAGGTGGTGTGACTCGGCTCTGACCTAGTACCACTGCCCATGCCCTGTCCACCTCTTGCCATGGTGATGGCTGGTGTGGACCACTAGTGTGCTCACGTGCCTCTGTTGGCTGCTTCCTCTGACACGCCCTCCCTGTTTTGATATTGTAAAGCGGCGCATGCGTATGGTGCCATACCTCCTTGTCTAACTTTACAAGAACGGAGAAAAATCTTTATCAACATCAGTATCCTAAGGCTAATTGTCATGAGGAGAGGTCAGACTTACATGCACTCTAACATTTTTATTACTATTATTAATTTTTTTTTTTTTTTATAAATTCTGACACCAACCTTCTGTGGTACTACCTCTCTGCTGGGTTTGATCATCATTTGATCATATGTCCTTCCTGATAACATGTCTGAAGTATGAGAGTCTCTCCAACCTGGCTTCTAAGAAGCATTCTGGCTAGACTTCTGATAGATCGGTTTGCTCTTCTGGCAGTTTATGGTACTTTCAATATTCTCCTCCAACACCATTACTCAAATGCATCAACTCTTCAACAGTCTTCCTTATTCACTGTGCAACTTTCACACACACAGGAGAGTATTGGAAATACCATGGCTTAGGTCAGGCGCACCTTAGTCCTCAAACCGATTATCTTTGTTCTTGAACACTTTATAGAGCTCTTTTGCAACAGACTTACATAATGTAATACATTGTTGCATTTTTTTGATTCAAGTAAAATGAAGTCTTTGACAACTGTAATCTTTTCTCCATTTGTTGTTGTTATTAAGTGCTACCAAGTCAGTTCGAACGCAAAGTGACTCTACAGGGTTTCCAAGGAGCAGCTGGTGGGTTTGAACTGCCAACCTTGTGGTTTGTAGTTCAGTGCTAATTCTATAGTGCCACACCAGAAGTCCCTTTATTATCATGTTATTTACTGGTTCAGTTATAAAGATCTTTATTTTCTGTACATTGAGTTGTAATCCATACTGAAAGATGTGGTCTTAAATCTTCATCAGTAAGTATTTTAAGTCATCTTTGCTTTCAGGAAGGCAAGGTTGTATTATCAGCAAATTGCAGGTTGTTAATGAGTCTTCTCCAATGTTATTCTTCACGTAATCCAGTTTCTTGGATTATTTGCTCAACATACAGATAAATATGATGAAAGAATACAACCCTGGTGTAAACTTTCCTGATTTTAAGTCATTCAGTTTTCCCTTGTTCTGTTCTAACAACTGTCTCTGGGTCTATGTACAGGGGTTCCTTATAAGCACAACGAGGTGTCCTGGAATATCCATGAAATGATCCACACAGTCAAAAGTCTTTGCATAGTCAATGAAGCACAAGTGAACATTTTTCTAGTATTCTCCACTTTCAGCTACGATTCATCTGATGTCAGCAATCCCTAGTCCCATATTCATTTTTGAATCTGGTTTGAATTTCAGGTAGTTCCTTGCCAAAGTCCTGTTATAACCATTCTTTAATTATCTTCAGCAAAATTTTACTAGCATGTGGTATTGATTCTACTGTTCAATGATTTCCACATTCCATTGGGTCTCTCCTTTTGGAATGGGCACAAATAGGGATCTCTTCCAGTCAGTTGGCCAGGTCTCCCAAATTTCTTAGCACAGATGAGTGCCTCCAGTGCTGCATCAGTTTGGTGAAAGATTTCAATTTGTATTCCAATAACTCTTGAAACCTTGTTTCTTGCCAATGCCTTCAGTCCATCTTGCACTTCTTCCTTCACTATCATTGGCTCTTGATCATATGCCACCTCTTCAAATGGTTGAACATTGATTTTTTTTTTTTTTTTGGGGGGGTATAGTGACTCTGTGTATTCCTTCTATCTGCTTGTGATGCTTTCTGCATCACTGAATGTTTTGACCACTTTTGTTGTTGTTAGGGGCTGTCAAGTCAATTCCAACTCACAGTGAGTGATGCTGTATAAGGTTTCCAAAGAGCAGCATCCTTGAATATTTCAAGTCAAGGCTTGAATCTTTTCTTCAGTTCTTTAACCTTGAGAAATGCTGAGCATGTTCATCTCTTTTGGTTTTCTACCTCCATGTCTTTCATTGTAAATCTTGACTCTGTCTTCTCAAAATGCCCTTTGAAATTCTCTGTTTAGCTCGTTTACGTCCTCATTTCCTCCATTTGCTCTAGCTCCTCTATGCGGGAGAGCAAGTTTCAGAGTCGCTTCTTAGAACCACTTTGGTCTTTTCCGCTTTCTTAATGACCTTTTGCTTTTTTCCTGTATGATGTTTTCGATGTCATCCCGCAACTCTTCTAGTCGTCTGTTCTGCCATTAGTATTTAATATAACAAATCTGTTCTTGAGATGATCTCTAACTTTGAGTAAGATATATTCAAAGTCATATTTTGGCAATTGTGGACTTGCTTTAATTTTCTTCACCTTCAACCTGAATTTGCATATGAGCAAAAAAAAAAAAAAAAAATCCAGTCTGCCCCTGGCCTTGTTTAAGCTGATGATACGGAGTTTTTCCATGTCTCTCCCCAAAGATGTACTCAATTTGAGTCCTGTGTATTTCATCTGTATAGGCACCTTTCATGTTATTTACAAAAGATATTTGCAATGTATTAGTCATTGCTCCTGCAAAATTCTACCATGTATTCTCCAGCATCATTTCTGATCCGTCTTCGTTTCCAACCTTCACATTCTAATCACCATCCTTTGCATCTTTGATCAATTTCAGACTGAATAAATTGGTAGAATTCTTCAATTTCTCCATCACTGGCTTTAGTGGTTGGTGGGTAAATTTGAATAATAGTGGTATTAACTGGTCTTCCTTGCAGGTGTTTGGATATTATCTTATCACAGACAGCACTGTATTTCAAGACAGATCTTGAAATGTTGAACGCAACACCATTCCTCTTCCATTTGTCGTTTCCAGTGTAGTAAACCATATGATTGCCAGATTCAGAATGGCCAAGACTAGTCCATTTCAGGCCACTAATGCCTGGGATATAGATCGTTATGCATTCTATTTCATTTCGACAATTTCCAATTTTCCTAGATTCACTCTGTGTTCTGATTATCTATGGATGCTTTTAGCTGGTTTTTCTCATTGTGAGTTGTGCCATCAGCAAATGAAGATCCTAAAGCTTTGCTCTATTCACATCATTATGGTCCACTCTACTTTAAGGAATCAACATTTCCAGTGCCTTCCAACCTCAGCAACTCATCTTTCAGCTCTGTATCTGGTAATGTTCCGCTACTATTCATAACGTTTTCATCTTCTGACACAGTTTTGCTGCTGTTCACTAGGTTTTTCATGGGCTAACCATTCCGAAGTAGCCCGCCTCTCCTTCTTCC